CTTTATTATTTTCCCATTACATTCAAATTGTGATCTTCTCACATAAACGGTAATGTAAACTATATTTTTGGTAATGATAGTCTGTCTTTGGGAAAATTACACACTTTTACAAACAAACAACATGCAGAACATTTGGGCCTTGGTAGAAGGCTACTTTTTAGTAGAAAATATAGGATTTTCTAGGATATACAAACATTTACTACAAACACTTACAAACATTTACAAACACTTTTATACAAACAATGACACTAAAATACTTATGAACTCACTAGCTTTAATGCTGATCTATGCTTTCAAAATAAATTGTATTTAGGTCACCAGTAGACAGGTACCGATGACCAGGTTTAGAGAAGACGGAGGTTTCAAGACTCGTTTTTATTTTGATTATTCATTTTTGGTGTCTTATAAACTACAGTTGACACTTGTATTAAAAATTATATTCTTAATGCAATGGATGATGTTGTTGCTTGTTTACTATTATGCAATGTTGTGATACTGTACATGACGTCCTCCGCCCCCGAACGTTTCCGCCGTTCTGGTTTGGGGGTGTGACAATATGTGATGATACTCGGTACTCTAAAATTACGAAACTCAAGATTCGGTACCGTTGGTACCAGTGATAGTACAATAACCCGATACACTTCTTGGTAATGTTACTTTGGTTCGGTGCTTGATATCAACTTTTCACCCAATTTAGTAAGCGAGAATCTCGGGTCGGTGTCAGTTCCGTCTCATGCTTATCCTTATTTAAAAAATCGTCAATAAAAAATCAGAAAACTCAGATATATATATATATATATATATATATATATATATATATATATATATATATATATATATATATATATGTGTGTGTGTGTGTGTGTGTGACATCCCCATTTTCACGTCCAGAAAAGACAAATTTTTTTTGTTTATGCTTTATAAAAATCAGAGTACCCTTTTTAATAAAAATGTTGCGGAATTTGTTCCCAGAAAAACATGATAAATACGTTATCAAATCATTTCCGAAGAAATGTATTTTATTCCTTTCAAAACATTGGGATGTCATTGTCAATACAGAAACATAAGCATAAACAGCACTTACATTCATTATCACTAGTGATTTATATCTCCTTAATCTCTCAATGTAATGTAACTTCATATCGACACCTGTGATTCAAATAAACTGAGTGGGTCAGGTTGGGAATCCTGGTGAGTACATAGGGTTTTCAACCCACAATAATATAATTATTATGTTTAAACATCAAACAATCAACCCAATTACCCATCCCCATTATCTTCTTTACTCTTAAGGATCTACCCTAAGAATCAAATATTACTCGTTCATTCATTCCTGAGGATCATCCTAAGGAATCGGCACGAAGTCCATCATGACCAGGGTTTAGGCACTAAGTCTGCATAGTCGCCAAGATTTATACAACAGGCACTAAGTTCGCATAGTCGTCAGGGTTTTAGGCACTAAGTCCGCAAAGTCGCCAGGGTTTATACAACATGCACTAAGTCCGCATAGTCGCCACGGTTTTGGCACCAAGTCTGCATGATCGCCAAGGTTTAGGCACCAAGTCTGCATGATCGCCAGGGGTTAGAGTACATCAGGTGAACACATCATTCACAACACCTACAGGTTGCGAGCCTGCTAGTGTTCCACTGGACTGTCTAGAATAGTCCGTGGTTGTCATCCATACTCTGCTAGATGACGGGGCCAACATTTGGGAACAAGGCTTCTCACATCGTCCACCTCTCACCCTTACCTCATGGTCTGTATCACCTCTCAACTCATCATCCAACTCATATTTCATCTACCCATGTTTTACCCAACATATTATGTAGATATAAATACATATACAGTTTAAATCATATAAAACTTATATAAAATCGTTCATCCAGCATAGATAGCAAGTATACAGATAATATGCACACATAGCACGTAGTTTATATAAAATACTTCATATCTATGTGTAAGATGAAAGTAACTATGCACTCACCTGGTAAGGTGGTGACTCGGTACTCGCACAACACTTTGTTATCTCAAAACAATTTTCTCTTGACAAAACTTAGTATCAATACCACTAGGGTTTAGTCTAACGTTAACCGCGACTAATTAATAGTCTAGCTATTATTACTATTATATAAGCGTTAAGTAACACTCTTATATAACTCATAATAATAGCCCAAATAATTATTTTAAGGTCCTAATAATGTTACTATAATTAATTAGAAGCTATATTAAAAATAGCGTAGGCGTAGCTCACTTACAGCGAGTTTTCTCGAAAACCGGGCTCCGCCGGAGCAGAGTTTCTGAGCCGAAAGGCTCTTTTCTTGGGGCTTCGGGAGCCTCGGGGCTTCCTTCGGGTGCTAGGGGGTTTACCTAGACTTTAGGGGGGTTTTGGGGGCTAGAGAGAGAGAGAGTTTAGAGAGAGAGAGAGAGAGAAGAAGTTGGAATGGTGTGAAGAATGAGGGAACCCGACACCTCTATTTATAGGTTGGAATCCTACTCTACTCGTCGAGTAGGGGGTCCTACTCGTCGAGTCCATGGCCAGGTGTCACCACCTGGTGGCTTGCCTTGGGGAGAAAGCCTTGGCCCATATTCAGCCACGTCACCCGATTTCGTACAACACCCTGCCGACTTCTAAACCCCGTAACTTTCGCATACGAGCTCCGCTTTCGACGTTCTTTATATCCACGCATAGGTAAAAACAAGATCTACAACTTTCATTTAGACTCCATCGGCTAATTCTCGACCGATCTTAAATTTAACAGTAGGAGGAGATTAGACTGTTAAATGACCGCGAAGAATTCGTAACTCCTTCATACGGACTCCGTTTTCGTCTGTCTTTTTATCGTTGAGTTCCTATTAATGAGATTTTCAACTCTCATTTGGGTTGCGTAGGCCAAAAAATCGCTCCAACTAAAATTCGAGTTTCGGGTCGTGCACTGCTATGCCAAATCTTAGAAAACTAATAACTTCCTCATACGAAGTCAGATTTGGGCGTTCGTTTTTTTTGTATGTTCTCGGTTTAACGTATACTACAACTTTTGTTTAGTTCACTAAGGCTAAAAAGTCATCTATCGTAAATTCACTATTTACGTCTCCCGGTGTCGTGCCGGTTTTGCCGAAAAACTTCGACGGGCCATAACTTCTTCGTTATAACTCGGATTTCGGCGTTCTTTATATGTACGGAACACTTGAGACATATTCTACAACTCGGTTAAGATTATTTATTCTAAATAATCTTTTGTCGGAAAGTCGTTTTCGACCCCTATTATCTCTAAATTGACTAGCCCGGATCTACGGGCGTTACAATATATATATATATATATATATATATATATATATATATATATATATATATAATATATATATATATATATATATATATATATATATATATATATATATATATATAGAGAGAGAGAGAGAGAGAGAGAGAGATAGAGTCGTATGTTGGTTATTTTGATAACCGAAACATAAACGCGGAAGCATAAACTTTTGAATCTCTAGTCTCGAATATGTTTAAAAGAAAACTTAAACAATAATGAATGATTCATACCTGATTTCATTATGATATTCGGATCTGAAGGACTAGGTTGAGTTTTACAGTTGATCTCAAGACTACCTCTAAAACCCTGAGCAATAAAGAAAATGAATTTTTCTGTGTAATTACGTATGCTCCTCATCACATGTATATATAGATGGAGATATACCCTAATATGAAAGATGAAAGAGATATAGAGGATCTTGAGTCAAACCGGGAATTCAACCCACAAAAGGTAAGTAAATATTCTATAAATCGGTCCATCAATGATTTATATTCTTATCATAATAATCAAATTTAATGATAACATTACATATATATGAAGTGGTCTCATAATTATCTAACATCGTAGTCTTATCGGGGGCTTCACTTCACCCTGGTTGTTTCACTCAATCGTTTGAGATATTATCATCAAAGATGCATCAAATTTTCGAGGAACAATAGAACCATTTTTGTAATTTACACTAAATAAAGTTTTATGTAATATGAGATGTCTACTTCGTAGGCCACGATTTCATGAAATCCATAAATATGAACAACAATAAAATTATGTGGCTCTTATAATTAACTTACTATATAATATGAGCAAGAGCAACATCGGTACAATACGAGCGCTAAAACCAAACATAAATTAATAAAGAAACTAAATTACATTTTAATTTAATTGTACGTCAATCAAACTCATGAGTTGATCACACTTAATAGTTAATTCCATTTCAATCTATTTGCCAACTTCATTCCTTTCCAAAAATAAAAAATAAAAAATAAATACTAAACGCCTCCTAAGTATAAAGACATCCAACTTCAATCTTTTATATATATAGCTACAAAGTATTAATGAGCATGCATATCAATAATAAAATTTTCAAAAGTTTATTAAGTTAAATTAGCTTTTAAAACTCATAGAAGTTATTGTAAAAAGAAGTGATTGTTACATAATAATTTATATTTTATTTAAATATTAATCATGATTAGTTCTATGTCTTCGACCAAAGTCAAAATATAAATAGACAGTTTATACAAAAAGTAAAAGTAAAAATAATATAAATAAATTGATAACTTTTCTTTTTCTATTGTATAGTTTTGTCAAGTTTTCTATATCCTTTATAAATTTAAAACTTAACAAATACGATTAATATTATTATTATTGTAGATACACTTACAAAAAATAAAAGATGTCCATAAAAAATATACATATTTGCACCACTTTATCCCACTTGAGGTTTTACAGTCGATAGGTGTTATATCGTACACGATTCCTCCTCCGCCATAAATTTGCCCCACGCTCCGATAGGACCACCACAACATAACGCCACGTTTCACGTTACAAGCAATCATACAGCGAGTGAATCCCACGCTCCTCTCGTGCATCTTTAGCCACAAGTGTACCTACCAGGATCGGATCTTCTTGTTATTCCATAAACACCCTTCCCTCACTAAACAAATTTACATTTTTACCCTTCACTCTTTCTCTCTTTATGTATTCAGAATTCAGATTCTGTTTGTGCATTCGAGTACAAGCATATTCAAAAATCGAACCCTTGTTTCACTTGAAAGTCGGATTTGTAGGGCTTTCGGTTTGTAATGGTGGAACCAATGAGTGGTGATGAAGATCACGGTGGCTCTGAGGGGGAATTTCTGTTAAAGGAGATAAATATCGGCGGCGGCGGCGGTAGTGGAGGTAACGGTGGTCGTGACGTGTCATGGCGGTTGAACTTCGACGGGTTTCAGTTCTCGTCGGAACATAAAGAGAAGCCTCCTCGAGGTTTCCATGACTGCCTTGGGGTTTTAGGTAAAGTTTTTCAGTTATGCCTTTCCCATTATGTGTTGATTCTGATTGCTTTATTTGAATGATTTGATTTGAAGTGTCTAATACTGGAAAAATTCTGTCACTGATGTCGAAAATCTCTTTTGTTTGTTAGTTTATAGTTTTATCGATCTGTTTTGTTTGTTTTTTATGCTACTGATTTCTTTAGTCAGGTTTATTCTTGGTCAATTGATTTAACAACTAATTCGAACCTGTACAAACGACAAACTAGTCTTATTTTTGAGTTTTTTTAAATAGATATCAAGATAATCGAGTCTGTAAGGTGCAATTCCCTTGAGTTTCGATGAACACATAGTTTCCTGTTTTCATGTAAAATCACTGCTATTGGAGGTGTGTTTTTCAATTATGGCTTTTATGCTTATTGCTTGACAGCAGTACTGGTTTAATTTAATATGCAAAAGTAATTACTAATGGAGTTACCTTTTGATTTGTGATCTCAAATAGCCCCTATCACTAAGTTTTCCACTTGTTTGTTTATAGTTGGTTATCATAACTCACATAAGGAAGCTATACAATGATGTTTTTGTTCACTTGTTTTAAATTTTCAGGTCCAGAAGACAATGTAGCAGAGTATTACCAACAACAAGTAGAGATGCTGGAGGGCTTTACTGAAATGGATGTATTAGCAGAACGTGGCTTTGTACCTCGTTTATCTGAGGTAAAATTACTTAAATCTCCCTTAAACACTATTAATTAACACTTATAGCATAACTTAAAAAGCAAGATGCTTGTTCAACTTGCAGGAAGAGAAAGCATGTTTAGCAAGAAGGGAGACACTTGCCATAAGAATATCAAACATTGCAAACATGATTCTTTTTATTGCAAAAGTTTATGCATCAATTAAAAGTGGTTCATTAGCCATAATTGCATCCACATTGGACTCCCTTCTTGATCTTTTATCAGGATTTATCCTCTGGTTTACAGCCTTCTCAATGCAAACTCCAAACCCTTATCAATACCCAATTGGAAAAAGACGAATGCAGCCTTTGGTTAGTATGCAAATGCATTTTCTAATTTCTCTTTACATTTTCTTCAATATCTGCCTAATTTGCAAAAAATAATTTATAGGGAATTCTTGTGTTTGCATCTGTCATGGCAACACTTGGACTACAGATAATCTTGGAATCTGTACGCACATTAGCATCTAATGTAAGTAAGCTAATAAAACAAACCAATATAATTATATATCATTAACATTTAATTGTTATGACAAATTCAGGAAAAAGATTTCAACTTGACAAGAGAACAAGAGCAATGGGTTGTTGGGATTATGCTATCTGTGACATTGGTGAAACTTGTTCTATGTATATATTGCAGATCATTCACCAATGAGATTGTGAAAGCATATGCTCAAGATCACTTCTTTGATGTTGTCACTAATCTAATTGGATTAATAGCTGTTCTTCTTGCTAATTATATCAGTGATTGGATGGATCCTGTTGGAGCTATAATTGTAAGTTCTTTGATCTTTCTATATCTTCTTATATTTTATTTCTGAATGATGTTGTGATTTTAATTTGTAATGACAGCTGGCGCTTTATACTATTCGGACATGGTCACTAACAGTATTGGAGAATGTAAATTCCTTAGTGGGAAAATCAGCTGCACCTGAATATCTACAAAAGTTAACTTACTTATGTTGGAATCATCATAAGTCTATAAAACATATTGATACTGTAAGGGCGTATACTTTTGGATCACATTACTTTGTTGAGGTGGATATTGTTCTACCATCTGATATGCCTCTACAAATAGCTCATGATATTGGGGAATCTTTACAAGAGAAGCTTGAGCTTTTGCCTGATATAGAACGTGCTTTTGTTCATCTTGATTATGAGTTTTCACATAAACCCGAACATGCACAAACACATCTTTAAACATGGGGTATGACACTATGACAATGAGTTCTTCTTGTTGATTCTTTTGGGCATGTGAAAGGGAAACATGATGGAGTGTGTTTGGTAGTTAATGGTTCATGAAGTGTGTGTAATGCTACAGTTGTTGTTCCTACTGATTTCTTTATGATTATTGTGAAAGTAGATAATCACATTCTAACCATATTCTTTCTTCTCAACATGTAAATGGCTTTATAGAGTAACTAACTACATGATAATGTTTTGTTGAAAGAAAATGAAGTTAATTAATTAATTACGGAATATTTTTGTTACAAAACCGTGAATATGATGGAAGATAAAATTTGGTTTTTGGGTTTTTTTACACAGCTATAATCCGATAGGGTGTTTACTTCGGGGAATAGTAGTTTTTTTTCTTTATGGAAAAAGTACTAAATAAATAAATAAAGAGAAATCTTTGATAAAGTCCTAATATTTTGGATCAGTTTTCAGTTTAATCCTAATTTTTATTTTTTGAACAAAAAAATCTCGATTATTTTATATTTTGTCCAAATTAACAAAATAGTCCTTGTTTTTTTACAACAGAAAATGACAAATTATTATTTAAAATTAGATAATCGAGATTTTTTGTTCAAAAAATAAATTTTATGATTAAACCGTAAACTTAACCAAAATATTGAGATTTTATCGTAGATTTTAACTTAAAAGACATATACACTAAATTAAAAAGGGAAAACCTCATAAAAACCCAACATATTTTCGTTTAATTTAAAAAAAAAAACCATTATATTATTTTTTAATGCATTAAAACCTTTATATTTCGTGAAAGTCTTATTTAAATCTTTTTGAGTTTAGAAAAACCAATCTATTTTCATCTAAGCATTAAAAAAACCATAATATTATTTTGTTTAGTACATCAAAAACCTTATATTTTTGGAAAAGTTTTAATCTAATGGATTGCAACCATCAAACTGTTAGGAATTGATTGTGTAGCACTTTTTGCTATTTAGGGCTTAACTGAACTCAAAGCTTTAAATTAGACATTTTAAAAAATATAAGAGTTTTAATGTAAAAAAAAATAATATAGTACTTTTTTTTAAGGATGTGATGAAAATGTATTGAATTTTTGTAAAGTTGTCCCAATTAAGAAATTGAAAACGCAAATTACACACCGGCAAAGATGGGCCAAAATCCAAAAGAAAATGAAAAAAAAAAAACAAACAAACAAATGAAATCGAAGTTGAAACTTAAAAGCATACATGGTGCTACCAAACCTGTTATAATGAAAAATGGGTTGTGGCCCATTTACGTAGATTTTTTGGTTTACTGTGATATATATATATATATATATATATATATATATATATATATATATATATATATATATATATATATATATATATATATATATCCCCTATTCTAATAAAACAGTAGTTTTGTGGCCACGTGCAGGGACGGTTTTGACTAGGTGCCCGGTGTGGCACCGGCAACATCTAATTTCTGTATATGCAGTGTAAATTTTTTCAATTTTTTTTTATATATTGGCAACTACGTAAAAAAAATCGGCAACTACGTAAAAAAATTGGCAACTACGTAAAAAAAAAAATTGCCACTCAATTGGATCAACCAAGCCCAAAAATATATTTATAACTTAGACTTATCAATTAGTAGTCCAAAAAGCCTATTAATTTTAGCCCAAAAAAACTAGTATAGCCCAAAGCCCATTTAGATAATTGGATCTTTTGATCCAATTGGGAGAATGGCAAAAAAACGTGCGACGATTAGCAAAACAGAAAGCAAAAAAAAAAAAGCCATCGACACAGGGAGTGAAGTCTTCGACTTCGAGACTTCGACTGACGCACAACAGCAAGGACCTTGTCAAATAAGGCTACACAAGTTTCCAAAAAAGAAAATAGGTGATAGATTAAGAAGCTTCGTTCCTTCATGGTTTAACGATTTTGATTGGTTGGAATATATTGTGAAAAATAAAAAAACATATTGTTTATATTGTTATGTATGTGGAGACCTCATGGGACAAAAAGGAGGGAGAGATGCATTTGTTTCCCAAGGTTTTGATACTTGGAATAAAAAAAAATGCATTTCAGACTCATGTGGGTAATGTTGATAATTTTCACAACAAAGCAAGAGAAAAGTGTGACTTTTTATTGAGAGAAAAACAAGCTATTAATGTAGTATTGAGGAGGCAAACCGAAGCGGAGGACCATAAATATAAAGCGCGATTACATGTTTCTATTATTGTTGTTAGACTTTTATTGAAAACCGGTTTACCGTTTCGTGGTAATGACGAGTCAGTTAACTCGGAAAATAGAGGGCTTTACATTGAAGTGTTAAAAGCCATTCGAGAGACTAGTGAAGATATTTTCAACAATACTTTAGAAAATGCTCCTAAGAACAATCAACTTATTTGCCCTAAAATTCAAAAAGAACTTGTGCAATGTTTTGCACAAGAAGTAATTTTGAGTATTCGTCAAGAGATTGGTCAAGATGTATTCGCTTTATTGGTTGATGAATCTAGCGATCTCTCAAAAAAGGAACAAATGATTATTGTTTTGCGATATGTTGATAGTCTTGGCTTTGTGAAGGAAAGATTAATTGGAGTTGTGTTTAAAGCAATGCTTTAATTGTATTGAAAATTGAAGTATAATTACGTACAACAGGTTAGCATATATAACCAAGGAATATAACCTAATCTAGAGATAAACTAGGAACATTTACAGGAGATAAATACTATTGACTATGACTAAGTACATACAAGTAAATATATTGAATATGTAACACGTGTATATTATCTTATCCCTTAATACGCCCCCACAAGATGGAGGATCCATCGGATACGCCAATCTTGGAACGTAGTCGCTGGAAAGGACCACGGGAGAGTGGTTTGGTCAAGGCATCAACAAGCTGATCAAAGGAGTTAACATGTCTGACAATGAGAGAGCCATCTTAAACTCGTTCGCGAACAAAGTGGTAGTCTAGTGCAACGTGCTTCATGCGAGAATGATAAACAAGACTGGCACATGAGTATGTTGCACATGTGTTGTCACAGTAGAGAGTAGGCACCGGAGATGATTTCACGCCTAGTTCACTTAGAAGATTTTGAACCCACATAACTTCGGAGGCTGCATTGGCCAAAGCTTTATATTCTGCCTTTGTTGATGACCGAGAGACTGACTTTTGTCTGGCCGATCTCCAGGATATGATGTTAGATCCAAGGAACAATAGGTATGTTGTGGTAGAGCAACCCCCATATTCAATTCCACCCCAATCAGAGTCCGAGAAGGTTGTAAGGGTTAGCGAAGAGTTCTTGTGCAGATAAAGTCCATGGTGAATCGTACCTTTGAGATAGCGAAGTACCCTTTTTAATGACTGCCAATGAGTTTCAGAGGGTGCATGCATGAATTGTGACAACTTGTTGACCGCAAATAAGATATCGGGTCGGGTGAAGGCCAAGTACTGGAGAGAGCCCACTAGTTTACGGTAGGGTGTCAGATTTGTGTTTGCGGACCCGTCATGCAAGGTGAGAGAGACTGAGGAGTTTAATGGGGCGGTGACATCTTTGGTTCCATCCATGTGGAATTGTTCTAGTAAATCATGTATATGGCGATGTTGGGATAAAAAGAGACCATTTGAGACAGGGATTACTTCCACACCAAGGAAGTGATGTAGAGGACCAAGGTCTTTGATCGAGAAGCGATTGGCTAGAGATGAGACAAAGGAATCTAGAGTTATTGTTTCCCGTGAGGACGAAGTCATCAACATACACTAAGAGGTAACTAATGATGCCATTACAATTGTATATAAAGAGGGAGGGATCAGTTTTGGATTTACGGTAACTGACGGAGACAAGGAAGGAGGTGAGTTCAAGATACCATGCACGTGGGGCTTGTTTCAGCCCATAGAGTGATTTTTTTTAGTTTGCAAACGTGAGAGGGGAAGTCAGTATGAATGAAACCAGGTGGTTGAGACATAAAAACCTCTTCATGTAGAGTGCCATGAAGGAAGGCATTGTTGACATCTAATTGGCGTAGTGGCCAGTTGTGAGCAAGTGCAATGGATAGTACTGTGCGAATGGTAACATGTTTTGTAACTGGACTGAAACTTTCAAAGTAGTCTTTCCCATATTGTTGAAGAAAACCCTTGGCTACTAGAAGGGCTTTGTATTTGGATATGGTGCCATCTGGATTTCGTTTAATACAAAAAATCCATTTACAGCCAATTGGAGTGTGAAAGGATTTTGGAACTAGTTCCCATGTTCCGTTGTGTAGTAGAGCATTGAATTCTTGATCCATTGCTTCACGCCACTGTGGATATTTTAGAGCTTGGGTATGTATTGTGGGTTCAATGGCGGATGGAATGGGATGTAGTGTAGTGTGATTTATAAATGATGAGTTAAAATATTTGGAGTTGGCTTTGCGAAGACGGGTATTGGTAGGCTGTGGTGGGGAGACAGGTGGGGTAACAGCAGGTGAAGGAGGGAGAGAGGCCTCGGATCGAGGCGAAGTGGGTGTGGGAGAGGTTGGTACAGCCTCTGGTTCAATGTGATCGGTGTTTTGAGAAAGGGTGACTGGGAGTGGATCGAGTGGTTGTGTTGGGGTGGGAGATGTGGAAGGAGGAGGAGTGGAAATGGAAGGTGTATTTGTAGCTGGTGATGGAGTTAAGAATAGGTCAGGGGTAGGGAGATGTTCCGGGAGAGTTTCGCTGGCATATGGAAACTGTGTAGGGATGAACTCGACATGTCTGGAATGATTTTTTTTTATTTGTGTGTCATAGCATTTGTAGGCCGATTTGGATGAGGAATATCCGAGGAATAGGCAGGAAGCTGATCTTGGTTGTAGTTTAGATGTGGTATAGGGGCGGAGCCAGGGATAACACAGGCAACCAAAAGGTTGAAGTTTATGATAGTTTGGGGTTTGATTAAAGAGACATTCATAGGGAGATTTGTTGTGCAAAATAGGAGTGGGGAGCCGGTTGATGAGATAAGTGGCTGTTTGAAAGGCATGGGACCAGAATGTTAGTGGAAGATGTGCATGGTGGAGAAGGGCTAGGCCAGTCTCGACAATATGGCGATGCCGGCGTTCGGCAATACCGTTTTGTTTGGGTGTATGAGGTGGGGTAGTGTAGTGGGAGATCCCATGCTTTTGTAGGTATGGTAAGAGACCTTGGTATTCACCACCATTGTCACTAAAAAGAGAGATAATGGGGTATTGAAAGAA